GTTAGCAGACAGATAGAGGGGTGGGGAAATTGGGTTCTGCACTCCATTTGCCAGCAAATTTGGAAAACGCAACAGTGGCCACAGGATTGGAAAAGATCAGTATACATTCCAATCCCAAAGAAGGGCAATGCCAAGGAATGTTCAAACTATCGCACAATTGCACTCATATCACACGCTAGCAAGGTCATGCTCAAGATCCTACAAGCTAGGCTTCAACAGTACGTGGATAGAGAACTACCAGAAGTACAAGCTGGGTTTCGAAGAGGTAGAGGAACTAGAGATCAAATTGCCAACATTCGCTGGATTATGGAGAAAGCAAGAGAGTACCAGAAAAATATCTACTTCTGCTTCATTGACTATGCTAAAGCTTTTGACTGTGTGGATCACAACAAACTATGGCAGGTCCTTAAAGAGATGGGAGTACCAGACCACCTCACATGTCTCTTGAGAAACCTGTATAAGGGCCAAGAAGCGACAGTTAGAACCGGATATGGAACAACTGATTGGTTCAGCATAGGAAAAGGAGTACGACAAGGATGTATATTGTCGCCTTGCTTATTTAATATATATGCAGAGTACATCATGCGAAATGCTGGCCTGGATGAATCACAAGCGGGAATTAAGATTGCTGGGGAAAAGATCAACAACCTCAGATATGCAGACGATACCACTCTAATGGCAGAAAGTGAAGAGGACCTAAAGAGCCTCTTGCTCAGGGTAAAAGAGGAGAGCGCAAAAGTGGGCTTGAAGCTCAACATCAAAAAAACTAAGATCATGGCATCCGGCCCCATCACTCCTTGGCAAATAGAAGGGGAAGTCGTGGAAGTCGTGACAGACTTCACGTTCCTGGGATCCCAGATCACCGCAGACTGTGACAGCAGCCATGAAATTAAAAGATTTCCTTGGGAGGAAAGTGATGGCGAACCTAAACAGCATGATAAAAAGTAGAGACATCACCCTGCCAACAAAAGTCCGCATGGTCAAAGCAATGGTATTCCCAGTAGTCATGTATGGCTGTGAGAGTTGGACTATAAGGAAGGCCGAGCGCCGAAGAATAGATTCTTTTGAACTATGGTGCTGGAGGAGACTCTTGAGAGTCCCTTGGACTGCAAGAAGAACAAATCAGTCAATCCTCAAAGAAATCAACCCTGACTGTTCCCTGGAAGGCCAGATAATGAAACTGAAGCTCAAATACTTTGGCCACCAAATGAGAAGGGAGCACTCACTGGAGAAGACCCTAATACTGGGAAAGATTGAAGGTCAAAGAAGACGGGGTCAGCAAAGGATGAGATGGTTAGGCAGTGTCACCAATGCAACGAACATGAAATTGAGCAAACTTCAGAGGACAGCAAAAGACAGGAGGGCCTGGCGTGATCTGGTCCATGGGGGTTTGAAGAGTCGGACTCGGCTGTGCGACTGAACAACAAAACAACACCTGATATTATTTCCTATGTTTGAAGTGGCAAACTGTGTCATAAAATCTATTCCGTTGTTAGATGAACTGTGGTGGCATTTTTTGGCCATGGGAGTCATAAATGTCTTCTGCAGTTTTCAAGCAATGTATGACATCACCCTTATGCTTGATTTACTTCAAGTCCATCTCTGGCATTTGAGTCACAGAACATGAATTTCTGAGTGGACACCTGTGAAGCTGCCTTCACACTGATTGAGACTATTAGCCTAGTGAGGGTCAGTATTATCTATTGTGAGTGGCAGTCATGAGCAAACTGGGAAGAAAAGAAGAAAGGAACCCACCCCCCAACCCACCCACGCCCCACCACTACAAAGGAAGGAGAGAGGAGCCAGACAGCCCTGCAGCTCTGGTGGACCCAGGCGTGGCCATCAGCACCTTCCATGGGCCAAGTGAGGCTTTTTCTGGCTGGGAGCCACTTTCCCTGGAGCTGCATAAGGCCCTTCAACTTTCAGCTGGATTGGGCCAAGTGAGGGGGAGCACTGGCCCATTGGGAAATTCCCCAGTGCCTATAATGGCCAGTCCACCCCTGCTGGCAGTGGCTGTCCAGTGTCCCAGACTGAGGACTTTCATATCACCTACTACCTGTTCCTTTTAACTTCAGAGGTTGGGGACTGAACCTTCGACCTTCTGTATGTCAAGCAGGTGCTCTACTTCCGAGCTGTAGCTCCTGCTTGGTATAAAGTGTGTGTGCTTGATCTTTTTAAAACTCTTTTCCAAGAAAACAAATATTGGGCATAAAACATTAAGAAGGCCCATGTAACAAGACTCAGCATTTAAACATCATTTCAGGGTTTCAAGCCATGCACACCCACTATCTCGTTGTGACCCTTAAAACAGCGCTGCGAGGTAGGCTAATTTTATTTATTCACATGGAAAAGTTATATTGCAGCATCCAGTCATAAGGAATGCCCAAAGCAGGAATTACCCCTTGAGGCAGATGGTAACTGAAGGCTCAGGGACAATGGTTTGCCAAAAGGCACTTAGTGAGTCAGTGGTGGAGTTATGATTTGAACGGAGGACCCTGTGGCTCATAGCTCAGGATCTTAGCCACTAGGCCGCATTGGCTGCCCTATTTACAATGATGTATTCTTTAGCCAAGATATTCTGAACAGGAGAAAGAACCACCAGATTGTTGGTTTTTTTCACAGACTCCAACTTATCAGGTCAGTTTTTTAATTTTCTCTAGTACAGATTCTTCACATACATTAAGCCAGCCCTGGGGCGTTGAGCCTCCTGAGTGTACCCAAGGTGTGATTAGTGTTCATTAGGATTCACAACTCTCCCGACGAACAAGAGGGCATGGGCAAGGTGCTCTACAACCACTACCAGGTAGGGCCTCTCGAATGCAACTCGAGGGGGGAGAGAAGTTGGGACCATTTCGATGACGGTTGTGGCAGCAGCTTCAGTGCCATTCTCATGGATATTCAAATAAGCTTTGTGGACAACCTGCAAGGAAAGTAAAGGCAAGAATGAATACCAAAAAGGGGGGAGGGGGATGAGCAACATTGTGTCTGTTCTTGTCCTCCAAAGAAAAATAAACTGTTTAATGTCTTAGGAGATGTTAGTCATGTTGTTCTTTGCTTTTCCTATGATTTATTGCTCCACCTGTTATCTGGGGTGCTTGTGTAGATGTTACCTCCTGGTAGCATTTCTTCCATGAAAGGGAGGCGCTGCTCTCTGCCTCCCCTTCCCCTCCCCTCCTGCTCATCCTAGATATGCATCCAAGGATTATTTTGTAGGGTGAAGTCAACATTTTAAAAACAGATTTGAAATTCTGGAACTCATTTTATGGTGACTAACTGTGACACTTGAAGTCTTTCCAAAAGCGATCAAACCAATAGTCACAAAAAGGATGTGTGTGGCACTCATTTACATAATAGGTGTCCAAAGCTACTGTAAAATTTGGTACTAGTTTTATTTATTTACTTATCCACCTATCCCAACTTGGGTAGGCCCAACTTCCCCCCCCCTAGCAGATGCAATTACTAATCAGGGTATGAATTGTGGCAGAACAGGCCTGCTCTGGCCTATGGGTCCTGTTCCACCCTGCCCTCTGAGGTTTTCCCAACACCTGGAGAGGTTTCTCTCTTTCTATGGTAACCTGCCGCCACCACCTGACCTTTGCAGGAAGTACCCACTGGGAGGGTCAGGGCACCCAGCTTCCTTTCCAAGTTCTGAGGCCTTGCCTCAATGTCTCTGGCTGCCTAGCACCTGGTCACCATGGGGACCATTTACTGTCTTGTGCACCCCTGAAGGACTAGCCATTTGCCAACTGCCTGCCTTCCCCTTGGCTCTCCTTTTAAATAGCATGTCCAAGATGGTGGAGGTCTATGTGGTACAGAGAACACTACCAGCATCAAAAATTATAAAGTATTTATTAAAAAGAAAATGTTCACAGGTATACTTTTATCACAGCACCAGATTCAGCAAGGAATCCAAATAAATGGGTAAAATGCAATTCCTCTGCCCCTCTCTCTAGTCATGCCCTATCAGATGTTAAGATATAGGACAGGCTCCTGAACTAAGGAAGTTTCAGATCTCTACAGAGTTCCTTTACCTTGCAGCTTCCTTCAGCTGACCAGGCCACCGCATGGCTAATGGCTGACTCCTCCAGACCTCAGTTAAGAGTTCTATCTGCTCTGATAGACTCAGCATCTAAAGAGGCCTCCTCCTTGCTGCAAGGAGGGTTTTTTTTATCATATCTCTTTTTCCACCCACTTTTCCTGAAGCCTCCAGAATTTTCCTTCCTGAAGTCTCTTACACAACAATTAGCTGTTGTGTAAATGTACCCAATCAGAAGGCAGAGAAATGTTCAGGAGGGAACTAATCTGATTGGGTGTTATCCTTGTAATCGCATTGGTCCTTAACTGTTCTAGGGTGTGGCAACATCAGCCCGGGATAGTTTAAAAGGAGCTATGCTCCACTGTATTCTGTGTGTGTGTTCTCTGATTGTTCCTGTTACTTCAATAAAGCTGATTCACTGTTTACTTACAACATGACATTGAGTTTCCATACTTAACAGTTATCTTACTGTAAGATGTATTCAAGTTACGTGTACGTCAATATTGTTTGACCTCTGAAGAAGGCCCCATTAGGGCTGAAACGCATCAGGTCATGTGTATTGGCCCTTGTGTCTAGGCCACCTTTACTTGTTTATGAGGCTTTCATTGAGCCCTTATATGCTTTTAACTGCCTTTCTAATAAATACATGTATTTTTGTATATTATAAGTTTCAACTAGGTTTTTAATATTGGCCTTTTGTTTGACTTCTTTCTTGCCCTTGTGGTTCTTGATTCCAGTTTAACAGTTATCTTACTGTAAGATGCATTCAAGTTACGTGTACATCAATATTGTTTGACCTCTGAAGAAGGCCCCATTAGGGCTGAAACGCGTCAGGTCATGTGTATTGGCCCTTGTGTTTAGGCCACCTTTACTTGTTTATGAGGCTTTCATTGAGCCCTTATATGCTTTTAACTGCCTTTCTAATAAATACATGTATTTTTGTATATTATAAGTTTCAACTAGGTTTTTAATATTGGCCTTTTATTTGACTTCTTTCTTGCCCTTGTGGTTCTTGATTCCAGTTTTGGTAGCAGGAACTCCTTTACATGTTAGGCCACACACTCCTAATGTAGCCAATCCTACTGAGTTTCTGCTGTTGGGTGTGGCCTATTATGCTAATGAGTTCCTGCTGGGCGTGGCCAACTTGGGAGCCAGCCGGAACTCCGTTCCTGTGCGTTCCTGCCCCAAAATAGCCCTACATATCCATAAATATGTAATATGGGAATAAAAAACAAATCTGTTTTGAAGGATAACCTATGAATCCTGAGCAATTACAAAATTCTTCCTGTATAGTGAATTAGGTTGTGTGGGTCAGCCTAAATCAGCTGAAAAGCAAGTGAGAGAAGATATGTGAATCCCTGCTGATGTAAAAGACTGATGGAAGGGAGACAGCTAGTGATGCCAGTGTCCTGGTGGGACCTGGGTACTGCTCACCTGCAGACTACAGAGATGGTTCCCCTGGAGCAAACAGATGCTTTGGAGGGTGGACTCTATGCCACCATATCCCACAGAGGTCGCTGTCCTTCCCAGGCTCCACTCCCAAATCTCCTGGGTTTGGGGAGAGATATTTGTGGATTTCTTGCATTGTGCAGGGGGTCGGACTAGATGACCCTGGAGGTCCCTTCCAATTCTATGTTCCTCAACATGGAGCTGGCAACCCTATCCCCACCCCCACTGATGGCCAGTGGAGACCTGGCAACCCCAGAGACATACTTCATGTGGTACCTGCAGGCTTAATTGGGGTTGCAACTGCAAGGGGAGGGGGCAGCTCTTCTTCTGTATGGCCTTCCCCACATAAAACAGTCCCATAAGACCTCTGTTTTACCTGCTTGTGGCCAATATACAAGTATAGATAACGGAAGGGGAAGGCTTAATCCCCACAATACGTTTTTAGAAACATACCTTTGAAATCTTCAACTTGCGCTGCTCAGTGAATCCAGTTAGATCTGCTTGGTCTGTGAATACCTCAGTAACACCCAATCCTTTAATTAGTTCTTTGACATCATAACTTGTCCTCATTGTGACCTTTGGAAGTGACAGGTCTATTCTCCTGTGTAAAGAAGAGCCTGAGATTGGTTGAGGTGTCTCTCTAAGAAGGCACACGACACAAAACACATTTGCATTTTGGCTTAATAAAGAATTGTGATGACTTAAACTGATTATTATTTTTTTAAAAAAATTAAAATGCTATGACACAGTTACAGTGTTTTCAGTTGAAAATGCTCTTTTAGAATGCTACGACAGCCATTGTGTTTTCATTTGAAAATCCTGGTTGCCTTCCTTTAAATAATGCCTTGATTTTAAGAGTGACCCAAAGCTCACAGAAATTAGCTGCTGTGATGGATTTAGATTGGCACAGGACAGAAGAAGAGCAGCTGCTTGTGGAGGAGTAGGGAATCAAACCCAGGTCTCCGGATTAGAGTCCGCCACTCTTAACGACTACACCGAACTGGCATCCTTCAATCCCCCATTCAGAAATTTAAGCTTTAGGAATCTGAGGAGAGAACAGAGCCCAGCAGAATGACCTAGCATCTGAAACAAACACCATTTTAAAGAGCAAAATCAGGGACAGAACTGGAACAAGAAGCAGGAAACTGGGACTATCCCTAGTAAATAGGAACATCTGGGGGAACTGTGAAATAACAACAGCTCTGCTGTCAGTCAGAGCTGGGCGCTCGCGAAGGGAGGAGCTGCTGTGAGGCCCAACATCGAGTGCCTCCTCCCGACCGCCGTCCGTCCTGCTGAGCCCCGAGGATGACAAACACCCAGGACAGTCGTATTTTGCCTCTGAGTAACTGCCCTCAACTCCAGTGCTGCAGACACATTGTCCCAGGGCCTCTGTGGTGCTCCTGATGTCCCTCTCCCTCTGCTCTGATAAATAAAGATGAGAAGCTCAGCCAAGATCTTCCAGTGCATGATGGGAAACCACGCATTGTTCACTTCCAGTACAAAGTGATGGAAGTCAAGATCTCTTCCTGGGATGCAGTGCTATCGAATCAGAGTCTTTTTGTGGCAATCCCTGATGGTTTATTAGCTGATGGGCGTAAAGAAGGATTATTAGCACTGTTGGAATTTGCTAAAGAGAAAATGAAAGCAAGTTATGTCTTCATTTGCTTCCGCAAGAGCAGAGAAGACAGAGCTCCATTACTAAAAACAATCAGGTTTTTGGTCCCACCGCGACCAGATGCATTGTTCATGGTCTATCCCCTGAATCAGGTCTCTTCTGATGACAATTAGACCCTGTGCAGCACTTCAAAGGGACCTGAACATGCTTCAGAGACGAGAGGGGGCGGAGACTCCCTTACTGAGGAAAGGGGGGGGGATTCTCCTGGACTGAAGCTGCATTTCTTATTGTTAGAGTAACCTGTATATCTTCTGAATTGACTTTTCCATTGAAATGTGTTACCTAGCGAATAATATAAAAGTCTGCACATGTAATCACACAATCGTAAGAGGACGGTGAATGGAGCCCTTTCATAACGGCTCTGTGGCCCGCCAGCTAGCCTTGTGGAGACCTCCTGTCCAGCCAGGCACTGAGCAAGGAGCCCACAGGTGAAGAAAGGAGGGGGGGGGGAGACTGGCTTCGTGAACTGTTCAATTAGGGCTGGGCTTTCCTGTGCACTTGGCTCTCATTTTTCCATGTATTCCCCCCCCCACTGTTCCCCTCACTCTTTAAGCAGGGGAATGGGATGCTTTGAGTGTTAGAGGTGCGAAGAATGTGAGTCCGGTTTAAGCCAATCAAGAGATGGCACCACCAGGGTAACCAACATGGGGGGAGGGTGCGTGGGTTCTCAAAAGCTTTGTGCTCTTCTAGCCTTATAGTAGGTGATAATTAACACTGCGTTAGTGCAGCTTTTAATAAAAAAGGGCATTCAAACAAAAAAAAACCCAGCTCTGTTTAGAAAGGTAAAGATGAGAGATGGTCAATGGCCAAAGACACCTGACAAAAAGAGTCTCCCCAATCCAGGTCATCTCACCCTCTCTTACACTGTCCTTGACTTACTGTTGTCTTTCGGAAGTCTTCCATCTTAACAAAGCTTCTGGCCCCAGTGCCTGTTCCACCTGGTGCAGTTTTCCTTTGTCAGGCAGAATGAAGAGTGCCGAAGCGTTGCCTCGGTATGGGATCCGCACCACCTTGCAGCCCAGCTCTTCATCACGATAGGTATAATAATAGCCGTCTCTGTGCATCATATCCACTTGCACTGTCGTTTCATTATTGACGAAGAAGTCCCTCTTCCGAGTGCTCTGGGGATCAAAAGGTTTTTCCCAATAACCTTTGGAAGGAAAAGGTGACGGGATAGATTATACAGAGCCAGAAGATTTGTTCATGTTGAAATTGGCATTGAAAGGTCACCTAAATTCAAAAATGCATCCAGGTTCGAATATGACCAGTTGGGATTTTGAACCTTTTCCTAGTTTGATTTCAGTACTCACTGAGGAAGGAATATGCTAGTGTTTAACAGTTAAATATAAGTGGATCGATTTCAGGGCAACAATGGCTGTTTCCACGTCTTTCACTACACCTTCGTTTTCTTAGAGCAGCAGTGTTTGGGGGAGAATACACATGATGTTGTCCTTCTGCTGCTCCTGTTTCCAGGCGTTACCCTGCTTTGCTGCAACCCTTCTCTGGTTTGGGATGATCTTTTTTGGGAAAGATTGCAGTGAAAGGGTGTTTGGGCATCATATGGACAGGAAGGTGCACATTTTCCTGGTTCCTCCCACATTGGCATTGTTTTCCTCACCCCAGTCCTTGTGGTGGCCATTCCCACACACACACACGACAGAGGCTTTGTGGGCATTTTTTATTTGTAATAGCTATATTGCTATATTATTAAAGCACTATAACTAAGTATTGCAAGTATGGACTATTTCACAGCTCTCTTTTCAAAGTAAGTCTCTAGCCCTTTAGATTGCAGAGTTATAAAGGAAAAGGCAACCGTTGCACATTTCTCTATATAACTTCGCAAACAAAAGGTTTATATATTTAATTTCTTTTACTTCATGCATACCCCACCTTTCTCCCAAATGGGGTCCCAAAGGAGCTTATGTGGTTCTGTCCTCCATTTCATCCTCACAACAACCCTGTGAGGTAGGTCAGACTGAGAGTGTGTGATTGGCAGAACATCCCCCATCAGGGAAACGAGCTTGGGTCTCCCAGAACCCAGTCTGACACTCTGAACACTATACCACACTGGCTAGAGACTCGAGTCCAGTAGGACCTCAGAGACCAACACTGTTTCCAGGGCATAAGCTTTTGTGAGCCAAAGCACCCTTCATTAGGGAGCTCTACTTGTATCTGATGAAGGGAGCTTTGACTCTCAAAGGTTTATGACCTGGAACTTTCGTTGATCTCTAAGGAGTTACTGGACTCACATCTAACTATCCTAAGCAGAATGACACCTTTTTAAGTCAATGAGCTTAGAAGGGTGGAACTCTACTGAAGATGGCATTATCAGCTTCTACCAATTTGGATTGACCTGTTGTCTACTGTACTCCTTTGTAGTGAGCCAGAAAGTAACCAGAAACACTGAGTGGATTGGGATTGCCCCGGGGGGGGGGGGGTTGCATTATTGAAAACCTTTTTTAATGTAGCTCTACAATAGTTCCTTATGTCACCCTTTCAGTACCATAAAATGGTAAATGAGGTCCTGCCTCATGGGGGTTTTAAGGCAAGAGAAGAGCAGAGGCGGTTTGTCTTCCTCTGTCCCTGCTGGTCGACTTCCTGATGGCAGTTGTGTTTAAAAAAAAAATGGTGGGCGCAAAGCGGAAGCCTCGGGCAGCTTTCACAAGCGGGGAACGGAAGTTTTTTCTCAACGTTGGAGAGCGATCAGACGCGGGGTTAACCGATTACAACCGTTGTACTTAGGATACCACCACGTGGGGACCTAGTGGTAGAGTACAACGGTTTAAAGGGCTTTACAATGGTTAGGGACGGAAGGCAGATGTTCGCCGTGTGGACGCCGGTAAGTACACCGGTTGGAACCAGCACCTATACCGTTGTAAATCCCCCGTCTGAAGGCACCTACTGTGTTACACAGAGTGTTGGACTGGATGGGCACTTGGCCATGGCCCTGATCCAAGATGGCTACTCTTCTGTTCTTATGTTCTCTGACAAGCTTGAGCTAGTTTGGGCCCCAGAAAAGGTATTATGTGGATTGTGTTCTGTAATAAAAGAAGTCTGCTGTGTAATTTGGGGAAATAAAGTGCCTCACCTTTCATGACGATATAGTTTAAAAGAACCATTACAGTGTCTGGGTCAAGATCACTGACAACTTCCACTAATTTCCCATTGGTTTTCTTCTCTACGTAGCTGTTGATCTGGTTCACAGAATCTTTGGTGTTCTGGAAATCAGCATGCATAACATCTGCATGAAGCAATTCACGAGCCTCATCCATGGCCTTCTGTTTTACTGGGAATCTGTCGGTTGAGAAAATGGCATTCCCAATACTCAGTTCAATTTGAGCCTGTGGCCGGTTCCGCAATTGTAGGAGGTGGTGGAAACCATCATCTATCTCCTTCTTGCTCATCACAGACTGGTTAAAGCCCATCCCTGAAAAAATCTGATCTAGCGTGACCCCATTAGCGCCCAGGGTCACGAGCATAAAGGCGGTGGAAATGCTCACTGGAGAAAAGAAAATGTTTTTGCCAGCAGCCTCGGGAGCTATCTGGCGGTAGAATTTAAAGGCAAAGTCAGCACTGTTTGGGGCTATCTTGAGGCAGGGCATATGGCCACTCTCCTGGTGACTTTCAGGGTGGGGGTGCTCATCCTCTGGATGTTCATGCCCATCGTGGCCACCCTGGTGTCCGGGGACATGATGACAGCTGGCAAGTGCACAAAGACCAGCAAGTAGCAAACACAGGTGGAAGTTAGACATGGTGCCCTTTTGGAGAGGATCTGTTAAGAAAAAAAAGAACAACATTCACACTGAAGACTTCAAGAACATAATAAAATATGCTTTTCAATGCTGTGCTTAAGACAATGTAATCTTAAACCTTGCCTTCACACATTAGAGAATACACAGATGGGGTCTGGTGTCCCTACCTTGTGTCACAGTCAGACATGAGTTACGGGATCTCCTCAAAGCATGTGTGGGGATCCCAGTTTGGATTGGGAACACAGTATGTGTTGAACTTCTGTCTTCCCTTCTTCCCATTTTCCCAGCCTGGAATATTCTACTGGGGTGCTATTGAGCCCAGTATAGAAATGTATGTGTATCCAAGGAACATGTGGGCCAAATCAGATCCCCCCCCTCACCCCCCCCCCCCCCCCTGGACTGTTTGGAAAACAGCATGGGAGGGAAGAGTGAATTCCTTAATGAATCAGCCACAGCACGTGCCAGAAGTTAGAAGTTGTGACTTGTGCCTGATTGTTACACTGGGTGGGGAATCCTCAGATCCAATCTGTGTGCTCTGTAACGTGTGAATTGGTGGTTCACATGTCTTGAAGTGGTTCGCTGGCTCTGACATCACCTCTTGATATGTGGGCTGCTGTCTGGGCTTCCTCCTCAGCATCTGCTAGCTCGTAATTAGCTCATAATAGGAGGTCACTGAAACCCTGTAGGCCACAGGGTCTATGATGATAAATGTGCTAGAAAATGAAACTTTCGAGAAGTCTGGCTAGATAAAACACAGCAGGGCTGTCTCAGTATGCTGTCTTCAGTGCCTTTTAGGGGTGAGCAAATGTTTTCTGTTTTGTTTGTTCTTTTATTCACACATCCTTTCCCCACATATACCCCCAAGAGCACTTCGGTTGGGGACACAACACCACCTGGTGATTCCAGGCCCCTGGGAGGCAAAGCTTGCTGCGACCAGGGCCAGATTCTTTTCAGTGGCAGCCCCTACCTGGTAGAATAAGCTCCCGGAGGAGATCAGGGCCCTGCAGGGCCTTATGCAGTTCTGCAGGGCCTGCAAGACGGAGCTCTTCCGCCAGGCTTTCATATAGGGGCCACCACTACCACCACCACCAATGCTACAGGCTCCTCTTTTGCACACCAACCTGGCTACCCTCCTGATTCTCATCTGTGAAACAGGGTAGGGTATTTAGTTCAAAAGTTTCAACCCCACACCTAAGGAAAACTTGTGACTCATCACCAAAAACAAAGATTGCCATGAATAAAAGGCTTGGCAGTTAATGGACAATTGGGGTCTTTATATACTTTTATTTTTAAATTGGCACTAGAATATCATTATATCACTATACCATTGTGACTACAGGTCTTGCAGTTTCCCTGAGTTCCCAGCTTCCTTTTTCTTTTCATTTCATTTTGTTTAAAAAAACAAACAAAGTTAAGGCTTTATTCCCTTCCTTTGTGGAGACAGAAGAAAAAGGGTATATTCTTTTTTTGCCCCCTGAAGGGGATTTTTTTAAATTGCATTTTCTAAAAAGTACAAAGAAACATAGTGGGGAGTTACGACAAACTTCAGGATAAAGAAACAGAACCACTAAAAACCCAAGAGATGGAGGTCATATATAGCTTAACATCAAGATAATAGCTTTTTAACAATTACTTTTGGACAGTGAGAGGGTTTTTTTTATTATTTTTAAAATGAACCTGCTGTCAATATAACAATATTCAAGTGCCATTTTTTAAAAAAGCAAAAGCCGTAGTGGCCCAGGAGATGGGGGCATGAAAATGTGGAAACCGGCCATGGGGAAGCTCTTCTGCTGCTGCTCTTTATCTGCAGCTGCAGCAGCAACAGGGAAATGGCAAAATGCAACCCCTCTGTGGAAGACACCATTCTCTGTAGCTTTAGTGAAAACAACACAAAGAAAAGCTTTGGAGAGTCAAAGCTCCCTTCGTCAGACAGGGTGAACTCTACGGCATCACATTCTGGCTGAGCTCCCCCCCCTCCAGACTCTATCCTCCCCAGGCTCCGCCCACAAATCTCCAGGAATTTCTCAACACTGCTAATTATGCCGATTTACTCTGTGCAAAGCCGATATACCATATGCAGTGGATTGCTATGGTTCAAGGATTTGAGGAAGGACTTCCCCTGGGTGGGAGTGAAGCCAAAGATGGGCATAGTGAAATGAAGTCTCAATTGAAAAATGAAAATGTTAACAAGTTCACCCAGTGAAGCCCACCTGCCAGAGCCTGCAGTGGGGCTTGAGGGGCTCCACCCCGTATCGATTTAAGGGGAGTACCAGTGAGCCATTCTCTGTCCCAACCAGATGGGAGCAGCAGCCCTAGGAGTCTGGGTTCCTTGGAGTTCCTTTGCAGCAGTTAAAGGAGAAAACTCCAAACTTCCCAGCACTGCGCCCTTCAGAAACTGGCCGGTGCACACACATGCTGGGGCTTCTCCAGCTGATTCTCAGCCCAGTGGACGTTTCTACCTCTCCTCTTCCTCGTTTTTCCTCCCAGCTGCTTTCTCCTTCCCAGGTAGGGACTTTCCTCTTTCTCCTTGTCTCTTATGGAGCTGCAAGTGGAGAGTTTATTGCTGGGGACAGAAAGAACAAGCACTTGAATGGGGGTTGGTGTCCAAATTAAGCCTCCCTGCTAGGAATCTGGGCTCTGGCCCTTCCCGCCCAGAAATCTCCTTTAAAACTCACAGATGGCCCCTTTCTGCCTGTTTCTGAGATGTGTGAACTGACTGGATGCTTGGCAGCTCAGCCCCATGCAGAGTTCCTCCAGAGCAGCCCCATTTACTGCATAGGGCACCACGGATTGCAACCTAGGTGAAGCTCCTCATGGAGAGGACAGGACACATTTCCCCTTCCTCTGCAGCACTGAAAGGGTTTAACCCATCAAACTGCTTGCTGGAGAGGCCGGACAGAGTCCTTGGGAAGTAGCCCTGCAGCCGAGGAGAGCTGAAGTGGCAGTCAAGTGGCAGGCTGCCTCTTTGGAGGAGAGTCACACAATGGCCCCTTCAATTCCCAAAGCCCCACCACCACCAGAAAATTTCCCGGCTACTAGGCTGCCACCAGCGCTTGTGCAAATCATTTTGACCAGCAAACATCCATGATACCAAAGTCAGAGACTGATCTTTCAGTACTTACGTTACGTTAAGAGGTGTCTGCCTGAAGAGGAGGGGTGAGAGAGATCCCTGTGTTGGTCTATCATTTATATGGTGGGATACTGTTGAGAAATGTATGCTTTCCATTAAATATTAAGCAGAGACGATAAGGATTGGTCGTAGAAGAACAAATATTGATCAAGAGTTACTTTGCATGGACACCAGGGGTCCTAAGTTCATTGCTCGTTGTCCCCTAGAGCAACCTGCTAGAGCAAATATCACACATTAGGATAGGTTCCATTTCTGGCCCCCAGTCAGGACAAGTGCCAAGTCTCCTTTCTTGGGACTTGGTGTCCAAGAGTAGCTATCTGATCATAAGGTTGCAATCCACAAAACAATGATTGTGCAGTATCCCCACTGAAGTCACTTTGCTTACTCCTTTGTAGCCTCCATGTCTCTAAACCAGGGGTGGCCAAACTGTGGCCTGGGAGCCACATCAGGCCTATAGCTACAGTGGGGCATCTCAGTGCCTGCCCCCCCGACTTACTGCAAAGGCCCCCCAACTTCCCATCCAGCCCAGGCCCCCCGAATTCCAATTTTTTATTATATTTGTGGCACTCCCTTGTGTGGGGGGGGTGCTGGGTGCTCCCCAACTTATTTAAAGGCCCCCCAAATTAAAAAAATCCTGGCTGCGGACCTGAGCCACATGCGTCTCTTTCACACATCTAGGAGGAGCAGCAGGAGGAGATTGAATTTATACCCCACCCTTCACTTGGAGTCTCAGACCAGCCTACAACAAACTCCTTTCCCTTTCCCTCCCCGCGACAGACACCCTGTGAGATAACATAAGAACATAAGAGAAGTGAATGTTGGATCAGGCCAATGGCCCATCCAGTTCAACACACTGTCACACAGTGGCCAAAAATACCAGGTGCCATCAGGAGGTCCACCAGTGGGACCAAAACACTAGAAGCCCTCCCACTGCTGCCCCCCTGCACCAAGAATACAGAGCATCACTTGCCCCAGACTGAGAGTTCCTATCTATACCTTGTGGCTAATAGACACTGATGGACTTCTGCTCCATATGCTTATCTAATCCCCTCTTGAAGCTGTCCATGCTTGTAGCTGCCACCACCTCCTGTGACAGTGAATTCCATGTGTTAATCACTCTTTGGGTGAAGAAGTACTTCCTTTTATCTGTTCTAACTTGACTGCTCAGCAATTTCGTTAAATGCTCACAAGTTCTTGTATTGTGAGAAAGGGACAAAAGTAATTCTTTCACAACCTGCTATAAGAGCCAGTTTGGTGTAGTGGTTAAGTGTGTGGACTCTAATCTGGGACCGGGTTTGATTCCCCACTCCTCCACTTGCACCTGCTGATGGGACCTTGGGTCAGTCACAAGCTCTGGCACAGCTGTTCCTGAAAGAACAGTTTGTGTCAGAGTTCTCTCAGCCCCACCCACCTCACAGGGTGTCTGTTGTTGGGAGGGGAAGGGAAAGGAGTTTGTAAGCTGCTCTGAGACTCCAAGTGAAGGGCAGGGTATACATCCAATCTCCTCCTCCT